GTTAATTTCCTCTCACTAAGAGATTTTCTTTGCTCGCGCAGTCAAGAAGTATGCTGGCCTCTATTAAAAAACATACCAACAATGTATATTAGTAATAGTGCAATTTCAACTATTATAGGTTGTAAATTAGCTTAATAGCATTAATATGGTACTCAATAACTTCATTTATTTATTTTTTTGTCAATCAATAGAAGAATATTTACTAATATTAAAATAATTACATATCAATTTTGTCAATGACAAGAATTGTCCCCCCTAACCACTCACTTGATAGTATACAAAAGTGGCCAACCAAGCTAACCCAGTTAGTTACTCTAAAACTTTATTAACAATTACCAAATTTGAATTCTAATCCACACCTACCAAATACTAACTTTCAATGAAGACTAATTAAGAATTAATTTGTATGAATTGAAAGGAATTTGACTTGGATCAACAACAAATATCCCAAGATAGAAAATTTTCAATTTGAATACCTCGAATTCATTGATCTTGCTATTAGTGGTGTATTTGGATTGTGATGACAAATTACCTTGAATTAATTAAAATTTCATTCAAAAGGTGTGAACTTCCATGATCACAAGATTGTAGAGGGTGTGAACTTCCTCCCTCAGAATTTAGAAAATACCCATAACCAGGAATTAAAAAAATTAATGATAGTAGAAAGCAAAATCTTACAATTTTATTTTAATTTTTTAATGCCAAATATCACATACAAGAATGCTCTAATAATATTTACTAATCTTCTAGTTCAGAATTTCCAATTTCTCTTGAAATCATGCTGTAATTTTATGCATGTATAATACTTCCAGAAACCACTTCCAAGGCAGATTATAGATACAAAAACCAAAACAACCCAGAAAAAAATGAATGACATGTACGATTTTAAAAATACACAAATTATTATTTTGAAGATAAATGTGATATAATTATGTGTCTATTGGTTATCCAATTAATCTGATTTATTGAAAGAATGATATGTCTCTTACAAGATAAACCATTCATATCATCGAGGTTGGGCAGTGGTTAGCCTACTGAGGCCCAACATCACAGTCCAATTGACTCTGCTAACTAAAGAGAATATGGTTCCTTTCTGTGCTCACAATCAATAAATATTGGTAGGCTCTATAAATTACCAACAATCTATAGTTGTAATAATGCAATTTCAACTATTAGTCTTTTTTTTTCTTCAGGTAGAATGTTAACAAATTAATAAATTAAGTTAGTATAACCAAGCATTCGATACTTCTCCATAAGCTTGAATCCTAAACTTCTCTCTAAAAATCTGAAAGTATAATCACTTGAGATATAATCAAGTTCAATTTCTCAACTATTAACTATTAGTCTATAACAATTTGTAAATTTGCTTAATGATATTAATATGGTAATTGGGTACTCTAAAACTTTATTCAACATTGTAACTGTTGGACAATCTTCACCGTATTTAAAAGGGTTTAATTCTGTTGTGTACAAAACAACAACAAGAATAAAAGAAATAGAGAAAAGGAGAGAATATGTTTGATTACAAAAATCAAACTCAAAATAAAAATAAATAAATAAAAACCACAGATTTTATTTTGTTACAAAAACAAAATTAAAATCTGAATAAATAAATCTCTAAAAATCTGAAAGCATAATCACTTGAGATATAATCAAGTTCAATTTCTCAACTATTAACTATTAGTCTATATAACAATTTGTAAATTTGCTTAATTATATTAATATGGTAATTGGGTACTCTAAAACTTTATTCAACATTGTAACAGATGCCGGGTTTGTATTCAAATCCACACTTACCTAATGGTGAGCCCACCTTGCCTAAAAGTTATGATAATGCAGCATAAAAATGTAATTAATTTGTATGATTTCAGGAGACTTTGACTTGAGGTCAACAACCCTAGGATTTATAAATATTGCAATTTGAAAAAAGATAGGGGAAAGCAAATTAGCGAGACAGTAAAAAAATAATTACATTATAGATGGAATTTCCGTCATATTAAACTAATAGAAATCTAGGTACAATTTCATATTCAAATCTACATGTTTAAACACTTGTATCGCTCTTGATATAATTCTGTTTCGCCTCATTTTTGAATCGTTGGATTCACCTCATGGCATAATTTTCATTCCACTTTTCATACGCCTTGCTCCACATCTTTTTACATGCCGTCGGAGCTTCGAAAGTTTGTCAAAAATAAGATTTTTCCGTCTTTGGATAAAATTTTCATATTCAAATCCACATATTCAAACATTTGTATCTCCCTCATCGTAACTCTATTTCACCTCATTTTTGCGTCGTTAGATTCAACTCATGGCCTAATTTTTATTCCATTCCTCGTATGCCCTGTTTCACCTCTTTTAGCATGCCATCAGATCTTCGAAAGTTGGCCAAAAATAAGTTTTTTTTTTTCCCCCTCTCTTCCTTTTTCTCCGCAGCTTCTCCTCTTAGTTTGCTGCTACTGCTGCTGCAGCTTCATCATCATTATCTATAAGATGAAGTTGTGGTGGTAATAGTGGTGGTGTCGTCCAGTAGTGATAGGTATACAACTACACATAAAAATCAAAAAGCTGGGTTGGTGAGCATTTTAGGCTGCCTTGGTTTTCAATCAAGTATCATTCATTGCATCTCCACTGCCAAGAATAATGTTGCAATAACAGCAAGAAAAAAAAAAGAAAGAGAGAGAGATCTCTTATTTTTGGCTAACTTTTGGAGCTCCGATGGCATGCAAAAAGAGGTGAAATAAGGCATTTGAGAGGTGGAATAAAAACTAGGTCATGATTTGAATCTAACGACGTAAAAATGAGGTGAAACGGAGTTACGACGAGGGCGATACAAGTGCTCAAATCTGTGGATTTGAATATGAAAATTTTGCCCTAAGACTGAAAAATCTTATTTTTGGCCAACTTTCGGAGCTCCGATGGCAAGTAAAAAGATGTGGAACAAGGCGTGTGAAGAGTAGAATGCAAACTAGGCCATAAGACGAATCTAACGACACAAAAATGAGATGAAATGGAGTTACAACGAGGGAGATACAAACGTTTGAACATGTAGATTTGAATCTGAAATTCTGCTTAGATTTTTGTTAGTTTAATATGATGGAGATGGATGGAGAGGTCAGATTGAAACACGGATGGAACTCTAAGGTTTAATTTATCGAAATTGAAATTTTGAAATTGAAATTAAAAAACACGCGAAACTTGAGATTTTTTTTTTGTAATTAACCAAAAAAAAAAAAAAAAAAAAGAAAGAAAGAAAAGTACAAAAAATGCAAAAGAAAAGAAAAGGAATGAAATGATACAAAAAAAAAAAAAAGAATTAAAAAACTGCCGCATGTAAAACAAAATTAATAAGAACACATCATTTCTGGTATTAGAAGCATCAAATTTTAAAAACAAAAAACAAGTCCGTATAATAATTAAAAATTATTAGATACACAATTTTCCAGATTAAATATTGAAATATGAGATGGAAGAAGCAACGACATTCAGACAAATAAAATAATAATAAAAAAAGAAGTGGTTGGACTTAATTGATTAATAGACCACCCTCAAGGCGCAAATAAAATAATAAAAAAAGAAGTGGTTGGGCTTAATTGATTAAATGATCACCCTCAAGCCGTGGGATAATTTTCTTTCAAAATCTTGGGATAATTTTCTCTAACAAAATCATCTACAAATAAGAATTTTGTACAAAATTTACATACAAAACGATGCAACTTTTTACGATCCTTTCATCAAAAACTAAAAACACCAATTACTGTGACTTGTAATTTCAAGACTGCCACTATCATTCTTATTTGTATTTTTTTTTTTGTATAAAATTTGTATTTATAAATTATAAATCATTTTCCTTTCCTTTCACTAGCTTTTTCTTTTATCATAGTACAGATGTATTACAGCTATTAAAGGAGCTTATAATAACATTAATATGGCAATTGGGTACGCCAAAACTTAATTAAACAATGTAACAGTTGTCAAATTTGAAGTCTAATCCAGACCTACCAAAATGGGGAGCCCACCACAAGCACATGAATAAAGTTATACGCACAAATTGGTATATCAATTAGTATATTAACATATATTAACATATGATGTGGTATAATTTTAGAGTCGTTGGGTCTTTATAGTTTGTATAATGGGTGATATCCATAATTTTGAAGTGACAATATCATAACATATAAGGAAAGTCTACAATGTACATCTTCTAAAAGAGCATATGATATGCACTTATTGTGTGGTTCATATCGTGTCACATCATAAAAAGTGACTGGCTAAACCGGTCATCTAACAAGTTACATGAAAGAATCATAACTTTTTCAAATATCATAACAATACTATAATGAATCATAACAATGTCATAATATTCACCAAGGTGTCATAACAAAGACACCATAAATCATAACAATATAACAACTCATAACAAATATAGTTAGTTCTAACTAATTATCATAACATTTGAATCGTAACATTTTTTATTATGATTCATCATGACAAATCATAACTTTTACTAATGAATCATAACCATAACTTTTTTCCCCATAACCATAATAAGATTAACAAAATGTCATAACTTTTACTAATGAATCATAATATTGCATGTTGATTGTAATTTTGCAGGTGTAGCCCATTAGACATCCCACTAGCCAAAAAAATGAGCCTTACAGAGCCACATTACCCCATAATAGCTTCGAAATAGGCAGCCTAGGCCCCTGTTGTGGTTCACCACATTTCCTAGATGCTATCACAGTGTAATGACCTGATGAAGTTGGCCCCTACCTGAGTGAATCAGGGCAATTCTGTGTCAGGTTTGGAGGAGTAATGAGCATAATCTGCAACCTAGAAACCTCTTCCTCCTCCCAAGAAAGAAGTTGTGCCCCTATTTTGTACAAACATCCTCAATGATCCCCATTATCTATAGACAACCTAAAAAGTCTAGGAAATTCATCGACTCAAAAGAAAGATTTCGAAGGTAGAAGAGAAAGCTGTATAGTTTTTCTCAGAGAATGAATTGTTGGTTGAGAGAAATACACAGCTTGAAAACAAGGTTAATGAACTTCAACAATCACTGAACTCAGCTCATACTGAGAAGGAAGCCACTTTTGTGATGTATCACATGAATACTATTACTGAATTAACTAATCAGCACTCGAAAGCATCTGAACTTAATTTAGAAGCTGAAGCACGGGTTTCAGAGAATAAAATAAAGTTACATGAAACCATTCAGAAATTTAGTCAAAGAGATCTAGAAGCTAAGGACTTAATTGCAAAGCTAAATGAACTTCAAGGATGGATAAAAATGTATGAAGAACAAGCTCATGAAACAATTGGTGTCACAAAAAATCAAAAAGTTGAGTTCGAACAGACCCTCTTTAAATTGAAGGGTCTGGAAGGCATCATTGAAGAGCTGCAAAACATGTCAGGCCAATTTGAAAAACAGAGGGTACAGTTGGCTGGGGTGAATTCAAAGCTTACTCAGGATCTGGCTACATATGAGTCCAAACTAAATGATCTAAATCATTTGTCTAGCCAGAATTGAACCATGCAGCCATCCCCATTTTGTATTCTTATATTGGATATAAAGAAATCAACCAGTGCAGAATTAGAGTTTGGCAAAGACAAAAATTTCCTGAAGCCACCAATGGTGGTAGCCATCCACCTCCCTTAGTACCATATTTGCATCTAATAATCTGTTTCCACAGTGTTCTATCATCTGCCCTAAACCTCCACCACCATTTCATTGATGATAGACCATAATTGCTCTAAACTTTGGAGAAATGTTGCTCCTCCAAAAGTGAAGTGTTTTTGTTAGGTGGCACTAAAAGAGAGAATTGCGTCAAGAGATATATTAGCTCAAAGGAGGATCCTTCCAATGGGGGCTGATTTGTGTTTTTTTTTTTTTTTTTTTTTTTTTTTTGGTGGATGCAAGGTTGAGATGGATTGCTACATTTTGCTACATTACCATTGATTGTGGCTGGTGTGGTCGGCCATTTTCAATTTGTGTGGTCTAGGTTGACACCGAAAAGTGAGCCAAATCATTTGCTAGCACACCACAAGGTGAGAAACCAACAAACCTCACATCAAACAACTAAATATACACACTAACAAACCTAAAAACCACAACAACATTGAATGTAATAGACTGACATCAAACAACTAAATCTACACATCATTTGCAAATGAGATCATTGTATCCAAATTGACCCCCGCATAAAAGCTTGAACAGTAGTAGCATCAAGCAGAACAATAGAAGAGAAGCATAAAAAACCTCAAGCAATCGTACGCACAATTCGTTTGAAGCAACTTGGCCATGAGTGCTGATCCCACAAGCATATCCAGATTCCAAACAGAAACAGTGATGGTGTCTTCAGAAAATCAGACAGCACCCCTTTCTCGTAAACACAATCTTACCTGGTTTAAATTTGAAATGAAGTCAATTATGGAATAGTACATCTCTTATGAGTTGCTTTTTACCTGAAAAGCAATCCTCGTTTTGACAAGTTGACATAACTCCTCCATATCAAAATGAGATCCATTAAACATACAGTCATTCCTTTGCTTCCATATGGACCAAAGTATTGTGAGTAGAATGGCTCTATAAATTTTCTTATCAAATTTCTTCCATCTATACCTTGCCCACCATTGTAGAACTCCCTCCACTGAGTTTGCCATTGCCCATTGAACTCCTCACCACTTTAACATTGCAGACCATAAACATCGTACAGGATTACAACTTAAGAATAAGTGATTCACATGTTCAGCCTAAGCACTACATAAGACACAAGTAGTATTAGCATTAATATTTAGAACCCAATTTTTTGAAGAAATACCTTAGTTTTTACTCTCCCTTTCCAAGCAAACCAGCTTAGAAATTGAACTTTTGGATGACTAATATTGTTCCAGAGCAGCATAGGAGGTAACATGATTGGGTGTTGAGAATATTCACACCATTTACAAATTGAGTCAAGACTGAATTCCCCTCAGGGTTCTACTCTCCATCTTAATTTATCTTCAACACCTTTTCTAAGATGTGTTGCATCATTCAAAATAGTAATAAGCCTTGTTAATTCCTATTCTTTTGGGTTCATAGTAAACTTCTCCTGAACCCTAGACCCCAGCCAGTTTAATCACCCCTTATGGCCATAATCATTGTAAGAGACTCCATTTTATCTTAAGACAACAAGAACAATCTAGGGAACACATCTGTAAGCCTTTGATTTCCAATCCAAATATCCAACCCAAAAGAGGCATCTCCTGTCATTTCCAGGTACTATTTATGTATTTGTCACAAAAAAATTATGAAGATTTGGGTTGATCTCAACAATTGGCACAACATCGAGCTAAATTCTTGAGAATTTAGACTTCCCACCCAAAAATCATAAAAGCTTTGATTAATCAAGTCCTTTGGTCCACTGAAACACAACCGTCATCATCGACTTAGACCACTATAATAGCATTGTTACCGCTACTAGTGTCATGTTATCTTTATGTCCAAATGATGATGTCACCTATGAATCAGTTTGACACATTTATGACTTTACCATGTACCACTATTAGCCTTGCCTATTATCCCGCAGACGGTCACTACCCTTTTACCGTCACTCCTTTTTAAAAATAATAAATTGTATTTTCATTCGTAGATATGTATTGTTTCTCATTGTACTCACCCTAATCACTACATTATTTCTCTTTTCTTACTTTGGTCCAATTGCTAACTTCTGAGGGAAACTTTGGAATTTTTAAAATTAACCTTCCTACCTTGATCACTTGGAGACCTTTGCTTTCCCACTTTAAAATAGATGGGTGACGTAGGACGAGTAGGGATTATTTTCCTACAAGTGGTGAGCCCGGTCTAAATATATTGGCAGCAACAACAAAAGACTTATAGGGCTGGATTTTGTGAGATTTTGTGGCTGCAAAAGTATTTAAAAAAATAGGAGTTTAAGGATTTGTAGAAAGGTAGGGTTTCGAGATGAAAACACAAGTGTTTAGGGACAGTTGGGTGGTTGTTCTAAGCACTGTGAACATTGACGTGAACAGTAACCTTGTTGGATAGAAGAAGAAGAAGAAGAGAGAAAGAAAGACAAGTGTTTCACCCTCATAAGGGATAAGCCAATCACACAAACACAATCTCAAATTTTCATAATATTAACTCTGCTATTGAATCATTAAGATTACACATGTATTTATAGGCTAAAGACTCTCCTAGTTCTATAAGGACTATTTCTCAAATTTAGAAACTAAAAATATTTAGCAACTACTAATATTCTAGACCAACTATGACTTCAAATTCTACTTCAATCATAATAGGAAACTTTAATGACTTCTAATTCTACTTCAATATCAAAATAGGAAACTTAGACTTTTGACCACTAAAATTATTTTAGACATAATAAAACTCATATTTAATAACCCATTTAATAACTTGACCCAAAATAAAACCCAGGGTGACTCCTACAACCCATGTCCAACAATTATTGAAATTACCATTATACCCATAATTATTAAAACCTTCTATAATGACTTGAAGACTCAAAATTATAATCCAAATCTTTAATTCTTGATGCCTTAAATGTGCTTCATGTGAAATTCCAGATTTGCTCTTTTTCTTCTTTCCATGATCTTCATCGATGGGTCATGGTAGGCAGCAAATGGAAATGTTCTATAATGGAGGGTTGCATGTTGAGGTGGTTTATAGCGGAGGATTTCATACAAATTTAGGTGAACTTGACCCATGGGGCATTTTCCATCACATAAGTGTAACATTTGTTACAATTTGGACCAAAGTGAAAAGAATCTAATCAGTGTGTTTGGTTTCAGTTTTTTAAAAATTAAGTTTTTGTTTTTTGTGTTTTTTTTTTATTTTTAGTGAATATTTTTTAAATTTTAAGCAAATTTTTTTTTAAATGCACCTTACTTAGATATATCTAAATAGTAAAATATTTGGGAAAAAATATTTTTAAAATTAATAAATACACAAAAATATGAAAAATGTACTGAATTTTCAATTTTTTTTGGTATTTAGTGTATTTTTTAAAGATTTTTTTTTATAAAAATGTTATACTTTTTAAGTGTATTTATGTTAGGTGTGTCTAAAAATTAAAAAAAAATGCTTAAAATATTAAAAAATGTCATTGAAAACATTAAAATACGAAAAATAAAAAAGTAAAATTTTTTGAAAACTGTTTTCCAAAAACTAGGACGAAACAAGCTGTAGTATCGAGAACAAAGTGAGAAAGTGTGAATGTGTAATTAAGCATTTTAAAAAATACAAATCATGCCCTAATTTGTGAAGAAATTATTTATGTAAGTAATATCATAATGAATTATAATTATTATTTGAAAATAGGCTAACATAATTTAATATAAAGATTTAATTATTTTATTACAGTTAAAAGAGGAAACATCATTTTCCTCATCAAACTATCACTCAAAAATTAATTTAACCTATGCTATTTTAATAATATTAATTTTTTCACTTAAATTATTTGATTTTGGATTCATTATTGGATCGATTTTTTTTTTTTTTTTTTTTTTCATGAATTTTTTTTTTTTTTTTTTTTGTGAATAAAATGCACAAAGTGCATGACAAAATAAAGGGTTTTGTATTCAAATGGGATCCATGATGGCCCCTAGAAGGCCCAAACAACATGGTCCAGTCTAGATTGTGGGTTGGAGGCAATTCATCTCCACTACAATAATCATATATTTTGTTTCCAAAAAAAAATAAATAATAATAATAATTAAAACTTCCTAAAAACTCAACCAATGCTTATTTGGGAACCCAAAAACTCCCAACGAAACAGAACCCTTGGAGTTTTGGAATAATAGCCTTGTCCCTTACGTATGTTGTCTCCCATTCTCTCTTTCTCAACCTCCTATTCTCTTATAGCCAACCACTTTTTTTGCTAGAAACCACATAATTGTTGCTACCACCACCATTACTAGCCAACACCTTCATGTTGTAGAGTGATTGTTGCAATTGTGTGAATTTATTTTAGTGCCCTGCTTTTAACTTGTTTTGGTATGTTCGGATTTTTATGTGTTCATTCAATTTTTCGGTTGTCCGTATATCCTAATATGTATATATGTGTTGTTCATGTGTTTAAAACCTAATATGATGTACTTAGTTGCTTTTGATGAGTTATATATGATGAAATACTCAATGTTTCCTAATATGATTGTTGCCAGTGCTTTGCTGTCAATTAAACACAAATAATAAAAAAAACACACATGCAAGAACTCTTCTATCAATTAAAATGAAACAAATAAACAAAAAAGCACACTAGCTAGTGCTCTGCTATCAATTCAAAGCAAATAAATTCAAAAACACACTTGCAAGTACCCTACTATAAATTAAAATATAAAAAAACACACCCGCCAGTGCTCTGCTTTCAATTATCAATTATTAAAAGAAAATGAACAAATAAGCACACCGGCCAGTACTCTGCTATCAATTCAAAAACACACCTGTAAGTACCCTACTATCAATTAAAATATAAAAAAGCACACCCGCTAGTGCTTTACTTTCAATTATCA